TTTTTTGTATCGAAAAAATATCGAACCGTGACACCAAAGTATCGAACCGAACCGAACCATGAATTTTGTGTATCGTTGCACCCCTAATATTAATATATCCCTGGGGTTAAATGTGTAGTTAAATGTCTTTATGCGGACAGAAAGGAGAGTTTCACTTGTCCAGCTCACTTTGATGTAAAGTGGGCTGGACAAGTGAAACTCCTTTCTGTGGCCCTCATTGTAAAATGATATTCTGAACTCTAGATGCTCAGAAAATCTTTTTCATACCAAGTGTCTTAAAATTGTGGTCCTCAACATGGTCCTCTCATACTGCATTTTATTTTCAAGAGAACTGTTTCTGTTATATAGTCCACTCTCTTTAGAATAGAAACTCCTGTTGCTATAATGCAATAAGCACCACATACTGCAGCCTCATAATTCCTGTGCAGTTTAATGACAATTGGCTTTGAAAAACTAAATATTACAGCTTTCATAAATGTAGGATTTGTTACGTTCTTCTGTTTCTGCATGCAAATTAGTCTGGTTACTGATAAGAGTTTCAATGAATGCTGACATCTTGGTTCAGATATTGTATTTTAGTAAAACATACTGAATACCAAACTAATTCCTACAAATTGAGGAGCACAAAAGTTGTAGAAGCTCCCCCTCTAACATCCAGCGTTTTGTAACTGTGCTCCCTCCCTCTGTATGTGTTGCAGAGGAGCAGTTTATCAATGATGGGAACCTTGTGGAAGCTCGTGAAGCTGCTGAGGAGGATCTGCTGATCGTTCACACCAAACGCTACCTCAACAGATTAAAGGTAGCCTTGCTTGCTTTATCTCACCCATAGTGCAGCATCTATCACTTTGACTGGCATCATTATTCTTCCATCTTTCCTGCCGTAGCATATGAATTTAATCAAATTCATTCGACATGGAGTGTCATCTCACTGGAGTGGATGAAGTCTGAACCTGTATGCGAGGTCAAGACATAGTGACTATGATGTAATCGGGCTCACCTCAACGCATAGCTTGGATTCTGAGACGAATCTCCTGAACATGTTTTAAACTTTATACAAAACTGGAGTTACCTGCAGTGAGAGGTTGCAGACAGGTACTGTGCTCTGTGCTGACTGTCATCTGTGGCAGTTCAGACGGCTATTCTCAAGTGCACATGGCACCAGGATGCTCTAGGTTGTAGGTTGATGGATTTTGTAATCAAATTGTCAGATTTGCAGGTGAAGGTGGGAGCAGAGCTGTCAGCTGATCACCACCTGGTGATGAGTTGGATCAGGTGGAAGTGAAAGCGTTGGGAACATTGTGATGTTTATGGGATTTGCCTAGAGTTCCTTAAGGCTCTGGATGCTGTAGCTCCGTCTTAGATGATGTACCTCTGCAACACGTGGAAGCTGGGGACAGTGCCACTGAATTGGCAGACTTGGGTGACGATTCCCCTCTTCAAGACAGGGAATCAGAGGGTGTGCACAAACTTTAAGGAGGATCAGTCTCCCCTTTGAGATGGTTCAGGTGTCTTACTAGGATGTCTCCTGGAGGTCTGGGTATAGTGTTTCAGGTGTGTCCTACTGGGAAGAGGGCCTGCTTGGATAAACTGTAGAGATTACGTCTTTCAGCTGGCTTGGGGATGTCTAGCTTTCCACTGCATGAGAATTAGAGGAGGTTGCCCAGGAGATGGAGGTCTAGCCTCTACTTTGACTGCTGCCCCTATAATCTTTTCACCCTAACCTGCTGCACATTAGAGCAGGGCGATATGACCAAAAATATTTATCACCATATACATTTGAAAATGTGCGATAACGATATAACTGACGATATAATTGACACGAGACAAAATACTTTACAACTCCACAACTTTATTAGTGCAAAAGAAAATAAATCAATGTATTTTCACTTAAACAAGCAGCATTAAAGTTATGTAAAAATTTAAAGTGCAAATGCAAATTCCTCGCTGACAGTTTAACCAAGTGGAAACTGGCCGACATATCCTCAGCACAACCATGTTTAATATCCACAAAACTTAAAAAGAGGTTATACACACACAATACGGTAATATTATGTTGAAGCACAGTACGTATCACTCCGCGAGGCTCCGCCTACGATAGCTGTAATCCATCAAGCGGTGTGGCTTCGTAGCTTAGCAAAGTTGTACTGAAACGTGACAGATTTTCCAGCGCCGTGTACGACATAAAATCGTTTCGAGGTCAGTAAACAACCAGAATTCATACATAAGGCCCACGGGATTATAAGGGGCTCTGTCGATTTTCAGAAAAATCAAAGGATTGATTTTAAGTGTGCCGTATTTTCCAAAAAACACGGTAATAACGACGGCCCGCTAGCATGCTCTGCCAAAAATAGTGCTTTGTTGTGTATCTGACGGGCGAAAGCTAAACCAGTTCCACACCACTGAAGTTGCAGCATTTTTACAAACCAGTTCTGGTTCATCTGTTTCATTCAACGATCCGCTTTCATCCTTCTCATTCTCCGTCACCGACATGCTTTTTCCGCCATGTGCGTATGAAAACAAAGGCACTGCACATGCGCGTTTTACTCATATTCTGTCGCGATATTTCATTTTCTTATCGTTGCCCAACATTACACCGGTGTTACCATGAACGGTATGATATGACCCAGCCCTACTGCACATCTTTTCCAGCTCTGTCTCTCTGCCTAACTAATCAATGCAAGCCCTTTTCCCCTTCTTTGGCAACTCTTCTGTAACACCTATTGCCTGTCTTAACTCTTTCCTGAACTCTATGCAACATTCTTTCTTCAGCTTCCACCATTTAATCCTTGGCTTCACTTGCTTCTTCCCTGCCAATACCTTGCAGTCTGCTCTCTCTTTCACCTTCTGCATAAGATGTAGTCTCCTCCACTCTTATACATTACTCCTGTTTTATCCTTTTCACAAAATCAATCACTATTTTTCTATTATACTTTTTTTTTGTCTCTTTAACACCATACCTTCCCAGCACCTCCTCATTACTTCTGTTCATGTCCACTGAAGTCTGCTCAATTCACAACTGTCACCCAACCAGGTGGGTGACAGTCTCTATCACTTCATCTTACATCAGAATTCTTCTTTCTCTTTCTCTCCAGTCAGTTATCAGTCACCAATCAGTCCTCATCTGATTAATCCTTAGTCCTCAGGGAATATCATGTCACGCATATTAACAACATGGCAAATCTCCTTTGAGCTTTTGTCATTTTAATTTATCATCTAGAGGGACTGATTAGTGTCTACATTTATTTACCTTTCCCTGAGCGGATTTGGGAATTTTAAGCTGTCTGTAGATGTCAGGAATGCTGACGTTTCATTGTAAAGCTCTTCTAGTAGAGTGCCTGCTACAGAGGAAGCAAAGCTGATAACAGTATTTCTGTCACATTCAGAGGCTTTGTATTTATTCTGTTTTCCCTCAGCTGCCCAAGTGAGGTGCAATAGCTTTATTCTTTACTGTCGTTTTTTCATGAGAATTCAAGCTTCAGCCTGAACCCCCTGGCAACATTATTCCGTTTTTCTCCACCTTTATATCCACATCCTTTTTTACCTTTCTTTTTTTGCTTTGCTTTCCGTGCTGTTCATTCAGTTGAGGGCAACTTAGTTTTGTTTGTCTTGTGACAGATGGCAAAGAAAAAAACATCTCTATACCGCTCTAATTATGTTCTGCTTCCATTTAGTGGTCTCTGGTGGTGGCAACCATCACAGAAATTCCACCTCTCCTGTTTCTGCCTAATTTCCTGGTGCAGCGGAAGGTGCTAAGGCCTTTGCGGACTCAGACAGGGGGAACAATAATGGTAGGTATCTGACACCCTCATTTCCTCTTCATGCTTGTGGCTGATAATGACATGTTATCTAGCCTCATTTGTCAGAAGTAGAAATGGAGATAATGTCCTGTAGTGTACCACCATCACATAATGATGAGATCCACTCTTGGCTCCGTTTACTTTTATCAACTAATACGAGTGCAGCAGAAACGTTACAGTTCACACCCACTGCACTCAGCATCCAGCCAACACAATGAGGTTCTTCCACAACAAGGCCTTGAATTTTCAATGACCTTAAGTTGAACTCAAGTTGCCCACCTTAGTAGATAATCTGCATATGGTTTTAGTGTGTGTTTTACAAAAAAACATCTAGATGCATGAAATAACTGTACAGTACTCAGCAGAAAATTCCAGCACACAGATCACTGTTCTGCAGTAAAGTGCAACGCTCTTTAAGTTTTTAGGTGTTTTTTCTTTTGGAAGGTTCTGGCCTGTTGCCGACCATATACTGCTTTATCTGGCATGGAAGACTGTGCTTACACAGGGCTATTTTTTATGTAGCTGCAGAATCTACATTTAGTACTAACTACAGAACCTGAGGTGTTCACATTGTTTTGTTACCTTTAGAAACTTTACATTACCTTCATGTTCAAGCTCTGTGACAATTTTGTATTAACGAAAGGGTTTCTTGAAAAGACTTGTGCAGACTTTGCTTTAAATTGATGCTTTCTGTAAAAGTTGTGAATTCAAAGGAAATAAAGGTTCTTGTTTTGTCTTGTGAGGGTGGAGACTTCCAAGGGAAAGCAGCCTAATAGAAAACCTGTGTTAAATATATATATTTCATATATAAAAGCTAATCTCTGTGGCGACAGTTTTAGGGGGAAGATGGGTTTTCTTTGTTGAACATATCGTGTGTTTGCACTTTTAAATGGAAATACTCTTTCATGTGTTTTGGGGAATGGTTACTCAAGTTGTTTTAAGTAGGATGAACAGTCTATGTGACTTTATTTGAAACATTTGTTGTGATTCACTTCTTTAAATCTGTAATGGTTATGCGGAAGGTTTCTTCTTTAAAATCCTGTTAGCTGTCTGTGTGTGTGTGAGGCAAATTGGTTTGAAAACATTAATATTTATATCCAAGTTTATCTGGAACGCATTCTTTCTGTCTGACAGGCGCATAAAAGCTAAAACTCATATTGACACATTATTTCTCTTGGATTTATATCTTAATATTTTTGGCTGATTGTTAAGAAAATATTAAATTGGAAGGTGGGAGTCCAGTGGAAATCATAAATCCTATAAATTGATAGATTTTTCTCAGGTAGTTTTTAGTGGCGCATAGGGAGAAACTGGAATCTGGGATCTGCCTTTTGGAGCGTTCTTATTGAAAATGGAGAAATAGAGAATAAGAAATAAATGGAGTACAAGAAGAAGACCTAAATGAACCTGAACTATATGCCCACTATAATGCAAACAACGCATATCATATGGTTTTCTCAGCATACGCTTGATAACAAATGTATTTTCTCTCGAAGACCTGGTGGTCGATGGTGCACATGAGATTCGAGGGCTGTTGTAAAATATGCCTAATACGCTCTGAAACAGAGTTCTTGTTTTCCCCAGACAGAGTGGAGTGTTACCCACACACTCTGTTCATGGCCAGACTGTGTGCATACATGCAAATTTGTATTATTACTCATCCATCAGAGAACCATACTGGCATTTACACACAATCTCCCCAGGTCACATCTCCTCTCATCAGCTCTCACACATGCTGGTCTGTAGAAGAACATGGCAGAGCAGCCACTCTTGCCTTTTCCAAGAGAGAAATCGTGACCTGCCACGGCCTTATCGTTGTTTAAAAAAAACAAAAAAAACCGTCTAACTGACGACATACTTGAGAACATTTTGAGTTTGAAGATTGAAACTACTTTCCTAAGAATGCCCTTTATTTGTGAAGCGGCTTAGATAAATAAGCCTTTAGTATGTTTTTTTTACTAAAGGCTAAACCAGGAGTGCAACCAGGCCCAATTAATGTCTTCCTGAGGTGTAAGCAGGCACATCAGGAAGACACTAATGAACTTGAAACGCTGCCCGTCTCACGTTTCTTAAGAAAGCTACTCTCAGGAGTAGATCTGGATCAGTGAGGCTCTGCAATGAAATCTCCAAAAGGAATTGTAAATATTCCTTTTACGTTGGTATTCTGCTGAATAATTCTTGGCTTCAGATATATTAACTTTTAAAGATTTTAGGTTTTTGGAGGGTAGTGCTCTTTAGTCCCACTTTCTTTATTTCTTTTTGTTTGACTTTTATAATATCCTGCTGTACACCACAAGCTGGTCTGTGTGGCTTCGGGTTTTTGTTCCATGACACAGTGACAGGGCTCCCATGGACAAGTTGTTTGGAAACCTGTCACCTTTTAATTACACGTCACTGTTGAAGTCTCAGCAGAGCAGAGCGCTTCGCATGGGACAAAGAAAAGAAAAGAGCACGAGTCCACTTTATTTTTCCGGTTAACCCATTAACTTTGGCAGTAATTAAGTCTGTTGTTGTCCATATGCATATTTAGAAATAGTACATGTTTTACATAGTTAGAAGTCAGATTCACTAGTGGTACTTACTCGTTTTTAAATCCGTGCCATGCACAGAAAACCAGCATTAGAATGCATCACTTTGCACCTTTTATTTGTTGTTGTTTTTCAGTCAACATGAATCAGTTCATGGTGACTGCAGGAGCCACTTGAAGATTCCTGTTGCATTCTGTAGTTTATTTTTTAAAAGGTCATTTTCCTTTCAGGGGATTTTCTGTCTCTGTCAACCAGAAAGGATCATTTATACATTTTTATGGTCACATAAAGGCAACTGAACTGAAATATTGTCTCTTTCACAGGCAGGAAAACTTGCTGTTGAGCGAGGGTGGGCCATAAACGTAGGTGAGTTTGCAATATATGCACTGATCCATGCATCAGTAATACGTCTATCTGCAATCAGCTGATATATGTTTAGCTTTGATATGGGAAACGGTTTACCCCACACTCTTCACCTCCCTATAGAGCCTAGCTATGGAGGTTTCCATAAGATAGCGGTGTCACATGCCAGGTTTCCAGTGTCTTCAGCATGCAACAAAAGCCTTCATTTCCCACAGTGGTATTTGTATGCAGTCTTTGCATATAGCTTAAATTAGGTGGTGAATTTTTTTTTTTTTTTTTTATTTTAGTAAAAAAAGAAAACTAACAGCACCAGATGCTAGAATGGGAAAAACTAAACAAAACAAACAAAAATACTTTTGTTTTTCTTTCCCCACTTAGCACAAATATGTTTTTGAATCATTTACAAAGGGAATGCTCCGTGTTAACGAGATGCTATAAACTCTTCAACATCAGCGTCTGTTTCTGGTAGCTGTGAGTGAAACAGTGTTCAACGTAAAGTAGAACATGCTGATCAGTTTCCTTAGCTGCTTATCGCCTAGAGCAGGAGTGGCGCAAACATAACACTCGCCAGACATGGACCGTATTTTTCGCATCATAAACAAAACAGTCAGACAAGTCAAATTTTATTCATCTCATTCTTCTTGCTTCCTCCACTTCCACACCATTGATTCATTAATGCTGAAATCTCTGGCAGCTGCTCTATTCCCATGTTGTTGCAGTTTATTAATGACTAACCTCGTATTTTTCTCCTGACTGAAGTTTGGTCCGTTTACAGCATCCTGCTATGCGATTGCATTTGTCCCTGACCATCAGGAACACTCACGTTAACTTTTATCGAGTGGGAAAAAAGTTAGCTTGTTTATATTATGCTAACATAGCTGTGTCGCTAGCAGTCACGTAGCACATCATTATATACCAGCTAGTTCAACTTCAGTAACCCTACAAACGTCACTGCTGTTTAGTTTTCTGTCTTCTTTTATGTTTGAAGTGATAGCAGAGCTGTACGTTTAATTTTTTCAGAAATCTCTCAGGCAGAACTAGAGATGGACCGATTCGATATTACGTATCAGTATCTGTCCGATACTGACCTAAATTACTGTATCAGATATCGGAGAGAAATAAAAAACGTAATCCGATCCATTAAATATCACAAAAGCGCCTCACAAAACTTGCGAAATAACGTATCCCAGCTCATAACCTTAGCACGTCGGAGCAGTATGCGTCTCGTGATAGAGCGGCTGTAGCGTGTGAGACCTGTCGGCAGTCTGGTTGAGCATTTGGAGCCTCGCTGCGTGCTTCCAAACCGGCATTTCATCTCTGAGAAAGCTATCCCAGAGAAGTAAACCAAGTGTGTAAGTTCATCTCTGTATGTTAGTAAAGCTTAACAACCGATATATGGAGCGACTGCCTCTTCTCTCTCCTCTCCCTCTCTTGCTGCTACTTCAATCATGAAACTGATCAATGATCAGCTGATCGGCTTTTCTGTCGCGACTCCCGTCTCTCTTGTTTGTTTATCGCCCACTTCGCGCCAGAAAGAGGAAACCAGCGGATAAACAACAGCCGCACGTTTAAGCTTAATAAACTGTTGTTACACCAGGATCCTTTTCTATGCAGCTGACGGCTGGTAACTGTGCAGGGGCGGGTCTAGCAAAGTTTTGCCAGGGGGTTCGATAGGGCATTAACAGGGAAAGGGGGGCACAAAAACATACTTTCTTTTCTAATTGTCATGTCTAGCTTTTAATAAATAATTTTTCATCTGATGTAAAATGTATAGAAGTCCATTATTGTATATAGTAACAATTAAGTCAAATTTATAACCTAGAAAGCTATAGTACTTTTACATTTGCAATTCTGTTGAAGAAAGATGTTGAATCTATTTAATTATTGTAAAAAAAATATTTGACTTCTGTGCTTTTTTTTTTTTTTGCTTTTTTTTTTACACGTGCTTTAAATTAAAGTCCATTACGTCAATTAAGCATGAGTGTGGGGGGTGGGGGGTGGTTCCCTATTTTGTTTTAATTTTGCTGGGAGCTTGCGGCCCTATTAGTTAGGTTGTTTTATATTTCCACTAAGTACTCTTTAAAATACCAGAATAGGGAGGATGGTGCAGGTTTAAGTTTATTAGATTGATCAGTGTTGCTGAACTATGAAATATTTTGGTTGCAGTGTATTTGTGCATACAGGTATAACAGAATAGCTTTAGTGTTGCTTTGTTTAAAACTTGAGTATGAACTTGTACAAAATGCAGCAAGATGCTTAAAAAAATACATAATTCATACATACGATGCACCGCTGTTGATTTTTGAGAAAATTAAAGGATTTTAATATAGTGCGCCTTATAGTGCAGAAAATACGTTAGCATTTTTACAAGTGCTACTGGTCTGCCATTTAAGCAGCAGCCAGCTAGAGTCAGGTATATGTACACATTGCTTTCCTGGATATTCTGTATCACAGCAGCTAGTGTCTCAGCTTAAATAAATGCGTTTGTTTGACTCTGTGATGAAGCGTCAAACAAATAAATTGCTCAGTTAAGCGGCCACAATGTTTTCATTTGGGATTTTTTGTTGTAAACTTTGCTGCAGGCTCACAGCAGAAACATGCAGGGTATATAAAAGTCATTCATAAAGACAATGACATTAAAGTGGACATGAAATACTACATGGAGCCCTGGTTTTAAAAAACTTAAACTTAACCTCCTAGGATCTGGCGTCCACAAATGTGGACATCACATTTTGGGTTGTCTAGACCAAAATACTACATTTTGCTCTACAAGGGCCTGATATCCACTCATGAGGACATTACACTGCCACTGTTCTATTGAAATTTGAAACAATTATGCTCATATGTGGATCTCATTTTTCTCAGAAACAAAATTTGGTTTAAAAAACAAATCTGGTAATGCTTTGGCAGCTGATGACTGCAAAAACAATCAGCCCAAATATAAGTAAGAGAAATAAGAGAAATTAAAAATGCATGCCGTGGAAGATTCCGGGTCTTAGGACGTTAACATTCTCAGTGAAGCTGGATTTAAGAAATAAGTGCTTAAAATTTTTAGAGCATGTTTTTTGCCAGTACAGAGCGTGACGTCACTTTTATACTGCATGTTGAAAAACCAAAGAAACCAGCAGGTTCGAGCCTGTTTTGAGTGAGGTGACAGGTGGTTCACTGAAACAAGCTAGAGTCAGAAAAACTGGGATTTTTTTTTCCCTCTTCTGGCCGTGTGTACCGTGCAGCACTATTTTATGCAATAAAACAGCATTTCTTTTCCCAAGCACACCTGAACATTTCACAAAATAATAGGTCACCACATGTGCATCACACCACAACTATAACTAATACATAGAAGACCTGACTAAACTAGAAGTGATCATTTTAAAATCTGTTTAAAATGTATCTAATCAGAGCTGATTGTTAATTAAACCTACAAATCTGTAATATAAGCTTAAAAAATACATGTATGCAATTCTTAAATGAAATCAACTACTCTGATTTAAGCAGAAATCGTGAGACTCATCTGTATGAAGGAGCAATTTGAAAAGATAGGTTTGGAAGCATTTAGTATTGACTGTAGGACCTCTTAATAAATTTGAAAAGAAATAAAACTCGTAGGACTCTATATTAGCATTTTATTCAAGATCTTGTTATTCAAGATCTAATCTCATTTTTCGGTGGACCCTGGGGCCTTCTTTTTCTGTTTTAGGCCCACAGCCACGAGGAGTCTTTTCCACGATGTATTCTTCTTTGTTTTTCCTGGGAGATTTTCTACTGGAGCAGCCGCTTCCCCCAGGACGGCCTGTGATTCGGGGACAAGGTGTTCCTCCTGCTCTGAAACCTCAGCAGTGTTGAGGCTGGTTGCAATCACTTCTTTGATTTGTGATCTTAATCTCTCCACCTCTCGGATAAGTGACCGCTCCTTCTCCGAGGTATCATTTTGCTGGGCTCGGAGCTCACATATTTGCTGTTCTAGGTGTTCCCTCGTGGCCCTCGGGTCTCTGATGAGGAACCGATCTGTTAATGTGCTTTCTACGTGCAGTCTGTTCTCCTGGTTTAGATGATGTTGAATTTGCCCAAGTTCTTGTTGAAGAGCTGCGCTAGCTAGTAGCTCCCTGTTGTTATTCTTTTGCTGCTTGAATTTGTCACAGATCTTTTGCAACCTTCGTGCCTCTTTCTTTGCTTTCTTCTCTGCATTCATGTACTTGTTCTTCAGACGTTTCTCCTGTTTTAGTTTATTTGTCGCATTGTCCAGCTGTTGATGTAGCCGATCCGTCTTTTCAGTTGACTGTTTCATTGATGTATTCTGTGCCATCATGACGTTGATCTCACTGAGAAGTCTGTTACCGTGTCTCATAGCACTCTGCAAATTCGTATCCTTTTCCTTCATCTGCCTGTGGAGGTGCTCTATTTCAGTTTTCTGTTCTTCCTGCTTGGCGGCCCCTTGAGCAGCCTTTTTTTCTAGGCAAGCACACAGAGTCTCAGCACTTTGGAGTTGATTCTTCAGCTTTTCCACTTGTGAAGTGAGCTTCCTCTTCTGATTATCAGAGTCCTGTAGCAACTTGGCGAATTTATAGCCTGACAAAGAACTCCAGTGAGGTTTTAGTGACTTGTTCATTTTTGTTGTTGGATTAAATGTTGTCCTCTCTGATGAGCTGTGCTGTTTCAGACAGGGCTGCAACTGACGATAGTTTATTTATAAGTTGGCATCAGGGAAACCGTAAAGAATGGAACCGCGTCAGTTTGAAGACATAAACAAGCTCCACATTGCTGTATACACTTTTGCACCAACGGTTTTACAAAGCATGTTATGAAAAAATGTGCACTGTATTTTCTTCTAAGATTAGAAAAGACTGCCTTATTCACCCAACCATATTGTTATATTACAATGACAACACTGAGAATATAGCATAAAACACACTTTTCCCTTTTTTCCTCATTGGACACACATCATTGCTGTTTCTGAAATTATTGCATGGTCATATTTTTATTACTTTGTTATAGGGCTGCCACAAACGATTATTTTGATAGTCGACTAGTCACCGATTATTTTTCTGATTAGTCGACTAATCAGATCATCATCCATTGGACGTACAACGTACAGCTTATTGCACCAGCAGCATCTGCTCTTATATAACTATCATTAGCTTACAGCTTTAAGTGTGTAAGGTCTGTGCTAACTAAAAATAAAGACAAGATGATAGTTTATTAAATTTTAATGAAATTTGCAGATTGTTTCGGTGAAGTTTAATAAACTCCTTGCTATCTAAAATATAACAGGACACCGGAGTAAATTCTCGAGCATCTCACACTTCTGATAATCAGCTGTCTGCTTGACGTTTATTCAGCTGTGTAAAAACTATAACTTTAATCTCAGCCAAACCGATTTACTCAGGAACAAATAAAACACTGAAAAAAGCCAAACAATAACATTTTAAAGTTATCTAAGTGACTTATATATCATGTTTAACCTGAGTAGCGAAAGATGGCGGTGGGTTTGAAAACGATCTGCCCGGAGTCCGGTGTTCTCACGGCTCTAGTGACCTAGCCCTCGGCTAGCTATCGAGCTAGTGGGTAACAGACGTCTCTGAAAACGTCGGAGCGCTTTTGAAAATATGTGGTGTCCTGATAAACTGAGCAGATATTTGAGGTTTACACAGCTACATTCTCGCCTGAAAATATGTTAAATGTTTATTTTGTGACCCAGAAAGAATAATAAGAGTAATATTAAAACTAACTAGCTGCCGCAATTGTTGGAAACAGCAGCATCCTGCACAACGATGGCGACAGGTCGGCGAGACGTGATTGTGGATGCCGCTCAGGTGCGTCCGCCTCCCCAGCAGCCGCGCCGCAGACCACGCCCTGCCACAGTACTTTTCTTTTGTCCCCTTAGCTCCTAACCTACTCTCTAGCAGCAATCAAATCAGGAGTGACATGTTTAGCCGCATGTTCTCCTTAAATTGCTGTCTGTCTGAATAGTATCCAAAAAAAACGATGGGCAGCTTTACTGACCGAGAAGATAGAGTCTCATTTAGCTGTTACTGATGTTGAAGGGGCCGTACACTGTATTAGGAACTGGGGTATGTAAACCTCAGATCAGGGTCATTGGGGTAGTTTGTGTTGAGATTATGATTTAAAAAGAGTAAACACAATTGTTTGACAATAAATGTGTTTAGCCTTCCAGAAACCATGAATGAAAGTAAAGTTTTTGTGCTATCATTCATATTCTCTGAAAAATGGTTAAGAAATCGTAAATATTAAAATCATATTAAAATCATAAATATTAAAATCATAAATATTTTAATTTACCCAGGGTAAATCAACTTATGAGAGCAACTGTATGTTAATATAGCACCACCTTCAGTTAGCTTTACACAAATATAGAAACATCTTTTCTCAACACCATGAGGATGAAGAACCCTTATAAAGGACTGTTTTTGAAAGCTAGGCAATAATGATCGTCATATTTCACCAGCCACCACATATTTCTCTGTATTTTAATACTCTGTATTTTAATGAACGTGACCAAATCAGGTCAGAGGAGACTATATTTCTTAACCTGAACGAAGGCTTCTCATCCCAGTTGTTAAAAAGGTCTCTTCACACAGTGCTTTTCCCTGTAGACTGCTGCTGTCCTAGCATTACAGCAGCATTAGAACAGTCCCATTTGGTGTCAGTAGTCCCACTGTTATACCACATGGGAAAAGCAGCCATTTTTATAAGATGCAATAAACTCAATAACAGCCTATTTTAAAGCGGCATTTATAGCCATTTTGAATAATGGACTTCTTAGAAACCTGCTCGGTTAGTCTAATGGCCCTGAGACAGAGCCTGTGAATTTTCTGTTTCCCAGGAGGAGGCTTCCACCACTGCTCCAGCGACAGAGGAGGTGGATTTTGTGCCTATGCTGACATCACTTTGGCCATCAAGGTAAAACTGAATCAGACACTTTTTTTTTTTTAGATTCCCCATTATTTAACACATTGACTTGACACTCATTGTTAAAACTGCCATTATTAAAAATCGAGGCATGAACCCAAACGCACAGTTGGAAAAAGGAAAGTTTTCACTAGAACAGCCATAAAGTACAAACAGGAATCGCATGAAGCTCATTGTTCTTTATGGATGAGTTAAAAGATTAATTTGGGCATTGTGAACATTGTTCTGCTTGAGTTTTTCATGTAAATCCATGTGAGATGTAAAAGTTTTTCTCATGCTGGGGATGTGTGTTCAGAAAGCAAATATTTTCTGATTTATCTCTCAGTTTCTGTTTGAGAGAGTCGAAGGCATCTCCAGGGTGACCATCATCGATCTGGATGCTCATCAGGTGAGCCGATACATCACTTCTCTCCATGTCAATTCACACCGCTGCTTAGCAGCCATCATTGATGACAAAATAGCCCCACTTTTACCGCCAGAGCCTCCCTGCAGGCAAATTTGGCCCATACCATCAGATTCAGCAGAATGTGTCTTAAAACGTCTCCGCTGACAAACAGCCGAATGAATACAGGCCTATGCAAACAGTAGGATGTCTTCAGCAATGTTAGGTACCTTGTTTGTTTGGGCTTTTTTCATATTGTGAAAAATGCGTCCTAACCATGATAAAGAATCACTTTTGATATTTTTTTAATTAAAACGATGGCTATTCTTACAACTACAGCTTGAAAATGTTTAAGGCCAATATTGATTAATTTCATTCTGATGTTTTTTCAATAATGTTGGAAAAAACAGAATGAATGCTGTTCTTGAAGGTCATTTCACCTTTGTTGTGGAGATTTGAGGAAAATGAGTGAAAAACCAGCATCCAGACATCATATTTCTGTATTCCTGCATGTTTCCAAAAACTGTTTGATATACTTTGTGAGAATTTTGATAAATGCAGGGATCTCCATCCATCATGGGATACTTCCCCACTGACCTAATCCCCATCTCACTCACGTGTTTGTTCGTGTGTCCTTCTGGGCACATGGCGGGTGCCTCTTGCTATGTTAAGAGGTGGAGGGGTGTATTTGTTTATGAATGCAAGTAGCTGTAATTTGGCATCTTAATCAAAAATAATAATGTTCTTTATTATTTTTCTTTGTTTTTGTAAAACAGTACATTTGTAAAAAAAATCATAAGTAACAACAATAGTTTTATTTTAGAAATTAAAAATAAATTATGACTAAAGAGGTTGTGCATACAGGTGGATTAACAATTAATTTGGTAATTACCAGTGCTGTTAGTTTAAGGCAGCTTTGACATAAACTTGCATTAGGTGGTGGTGTAATACATTTAACACTGTATAATAATGCTGTGCATCATTTGTGGGCTGAACTCTCTTAAGCTGTAGAAAACAATGACTCAACCTTTTTAAGACCCTGATTAACATATATTTGCCTTAAGATATATTTTCAGCATAATGACTTGTATCCACCACCAATTAGGCTTAAGAATTATGCAAACACTGATGATGTCTTAACAACCCGGGTTCAAGGCTGCATTGTATTAATAGCCTGGCATTCATTTTTGAGACCAGTTTGCACGTAATAACCTACATCTATTGACAAATGGTAGGGATCAATATAGATGCTGAGTGAATTATTCATTAAGACCAAAGAATAAACCTACACTGCCCTCTTAGCAGATAATTGGGCCGAGAGAAAAGCAGTAACCTGTGGCTCAGGTGGTAGAGCAGGTCGGTGGATTGATCCCCGGTTTCTCCTGTCCATGTGTCGGAGTTGCCCCCAGTGCAAACATCCAGTGTTAATTCAATTCAATTCAATTTTATTTACTGTATATAGCACCAAATCACAACATAAGTCGCCTCAAGGCGCTTCATTGACACAGAGAAAAACCCAACAATCATATGACCCCCTATGAGCAGCACTTTGGCGACAGTGGGAAGGAAAAACTCCCTTTTAACAGGAAGAAACCTCCGGCAGAACCAGGCTCAGGGAGGGGCGGGGCCATCTGCTGCGACCGGTTGGGGTGAGAGAAGGAAGACAGGATAAAGACATGCTGTGGAAGAGAGACAGAGGTTAATAACAGACATGATTCAATGCAGAGAGGTCTGTTAATACATAGTGAGTGAGAAAGGTGACTGGAAAGGAAAAACTCAATGCATCATGGGAATCCCCCGGCAGCCTACGTCTATTGCAGCATAACTAACGGAGGATTCAGGGTCACCTGGTCCAGCCCTAACTATATGCTTTAGCAAAAAGGAAAGTTTGAAGCCTGATCTTGAAAGTAGAGATAGTGTCTGTCTCCCGAATCCAAACTGGAAGCTGGTTCCACAGAAGAGGGGCCTGAAAACTGAAGGCTCTGCCTCCCATTCTACTTTTAAATACTCTAGGAACAACAAGTAGGCCTGCAGAGCGAGAGCGAAGTGCTCTAATAGGGTGATATGGTACTACAAGGTCATTAAGATAAGATGGGGCCTGATTATTTAAGACCTTGTATGTGAGGAGCAGGATTTTGAATTCAATGCTGGATTTAACAGGAAGACAATGAAGGGAAGCCAAAACAGGAGAAATATGCTCTCTCTTTCTAGTCCCTGTCAGGACTCTTGCTGCAGCATTTTGGATTAGCTGAAGGCTTTTCAGTGAGTTTTTAGGACATCCTGATAATAATGAATTACAGTCGTCCAGCCTGGAAGTAATAAATGCATGAACTAGTTTTTCAGCGTCACTCTGAGACAGGATATTTCTAATTTTAGAGATGTTGCGCAAATGGAAGAACGCAGTCTTACATATTTGTTTAATATGTGCATTGAAGGACATGTCCTGGTCAAAAATGACTCCAAGGTTCCTCACAGCGTTACTGGAGGCCAAGGTAATGCCATCCAGAGTAAGAATCTGCTTAGATACCATATTTCTAAGATTTTCAGGTTAGCATGTGTGTGAATATTGGATAGAAGTGCTGAGGTACAGAGAAAAAGCATTGTACAAATGTGTGTGTGACTTGTAGTTGAAAGCACTCTGTGTGCTCAAATTGAGTAGAAAGGCACTATATAAGTATCGGTCCATTTACTATGACATATAACGTTTTCTTGTGAGCAGTGTAATAGATTCTACAACGCTGTGATGCTTTTTCACAGCGAAGCAGTAATGATTTTTAGGTTAAGTTTATAAGCAGCTTGCTTGGAGTCCAGCTCTGAGAGCATATTCTTATCTGTCTGTTACGTTTATAAAGCATCACCTGTGTGTGATGCGAAACCGAAAATATGGATTTTATGATCTCAGATACAGATATCTGTTGCTCATTATATAGTCTATAATACTTAATGCTTAATAAAGGGGAACAGTTAATTATTTTCTGCAATATAGAGCAACACTATGTCTGGAAGGAGAGAATCTGTTCAAACCTGACTTGCCTGTACCAGGACAATCACTGATGCTTTCTAAAATCGTTTGCTATGATGACATCTCTGCAGTGTGTTTTTTTTCATAGCTCAGTATTGCATCACAGGTTTCGTCACTTTGAATAAATGCTTGGGTGGGCCAGCTATATTAACGAAATATTTATGTATATTTTTTACCCAACCATCGATTTGGCCTAAAGGGCAAAAAGTGAGGGACACCCTGGAAAGGTGGCACAGGGCTAACACAGAGAGACAGACAATTACTCGTACTCGCATTCACAGTTAATCTAACATGCATGTCTTTGGACTGTGAGAAGTAGCTCAGGTAACCAGAGAAAGTCCACGCAGGAAGGCCCAAGCAGCGACACAAGGTCGCAGCCGCAGCATTTTACTGCATTGTATTTTGTACCAAATCATCATCAGTGGCCGACAAGTGGTGCTCGCTTTCAGACATGTCTGGGTTTGTGTTTTTGTTGTGTACACTAGTTCACAGCCCTCGTATTTAAGTAAGCATGGATGCGCCTTCTTTTTTTCATGTACACATCTTTGCCTGCTGGCGATGTACCACTACAATACTTCAAACTGTTGAAATAAGTTGAAACTTTTTCACAAAGACCCTTGTGACTGTCAACCAGCTTTTAAGTTATTACCTTCATTCTCCAAGGAGTTCATTCCAAATCATCTCAACCAGGCTTAGACTGAATGATTACTGCTTTCTCGCTCTCACAAACACACACTCACACAAACAAACATACACTATAAGCCAGTGTCAAGATTTCGCTGGCACAAAGTCCATTGCTTACATTTCTTGCCCTAAGAAGTTACCCAATTTTTATTGGCCTCTCTCAGTGCTGGTTTCTTTGCAGCAGTTTAGTCTTTATCCACACAATTTCTTGTAACAGTTGATGTTGAGAAAGGTCTACTACTTAAACTCTTAAGGATTGATGCAGGCTCTAATGTGAGGTGAAGTTAGCTGGTAATTTAGGTGGCTAACACTAATGGACTCATTCTCTGCAGCAGAGGGAACTCTTGGTCTTCTGTTTCTTCAGGCAGTCCTCTTTCTAGCATTTGAAGGTTTTGAAGATTGTATTTGAAACTTTTAATGTTTTAACTATACATTGGTAAAACACAACTGATGCTGACAAATACATTAGTACAGTTAGAAATTCCAGGGACCGTTCACCATCACTGACATGCAACAATTTTATGATGATGGTGGGTAAAATAATCCCATTCTAGGAGATTAGGGGGTTAAGATGTTGCTCGTCAATATCTTGATAGTTTTTGTTTGCTCACTAACTAGCTTTTCTTTTTTTCTCCCCTTGTGTTCTTTTTTTTTTTTTTTTTTATAAAAAAAGTTTTTTTCTGGAACGTAGATGATACTTAGAATATTTTAATATAGAATACAAAGAAAGGGACAAATACTCATCTTATGCTTTATGAGTAGGGATGGGAAACAAGAACCAGTACTTCCATTACTTGGAATTTTTAGTCTGCTTATCGATTCAGCTTATTGGTTCCACTTGCACCAGGACAGAAACAGCTGCATTATGTTGCTTACACAACTTTGGCTCTTTGCAAGCAGCTGCACAGACAGCATGCTAATGCTAAACTAGCCAAGAACCCAGAGTGATGGCAAAGCTGAGTGAACTTTGAACCCAGGCCAGCAGCCAGACTCTGAACAGTTAACAAACCGATGAGGAGTCAGTCTGCATCTTCCTTTTGTACCTGTTAATGTTTCTATAGTTGAATCACCGCAGGGATCGCTTTCGTATGAATACCTTTTCGAGAAAAATCGTACGTGTCCTCATTAGATCAGAAATTTGTCTTTGTGTCTGTAGCCTGAGGATTATATTAACTTTTATAAATCTGTATTTGTGAGTGTGAAATGAAATGATGGGATATGCTATCACTACGTGGGTGAGCATGTATGAGAAGTGGTTTTCGAAACTGCTTCTCATTTTGAAATCAATGTTTCTTTTCCGTACTGAAACCCTGTTATTCTGTGTTCCAATTTTGACTTTAACTCTGTTTTATTGGCATTGAATTAAAACAAACATTAATTATAAATCATGGGCAGCACGGTGGCACGGTGGTTAGCACTGTTGCCGCACAGCAAGAAGGTCCTGAGTTCAATTCCACCATCAGGCCGGGGTCTTTCTGTGTGGAGTTTGCATGTTCTCCCCGTGTTTGCGTGGGTTCTCTCCGGGTACTCCGGCTTCCTCCCACC